GACAGCACACAGAGAACTCAACCAGGAAGGGACGCTGCTGAGGCGGTACAAGCATAAGAACCAGGGGAAGACCTGAAAGGGTAGCTGAAGCAGTCAAAGAGGTCACAGCGCTGGACAGGGTTGGACAAGGTCAGCGATCCGGGTCGTGCAGGGGAAGACACTAACGAAGTCAGGGGGAGCCGAGGAACAAAGGTCAAGGGAACGAGCAGTGAGGGGAGCCAGAGAGGTACACAACACACCAGGGAAACAAGAGCCGGTGAGTAATCACAGCCCTGAGACCGAACCCTGCCATGATACTGAAGCTGGAATAAATCTCCTGCTGAAAACAAGGTAACTGCTGTAAATAAGCTGCTGGTGGTATTGACGACCAGTCCAACTGCGTTGCCAAGGGAACCGGCTGATTAGAAGATTGATTTGGCTGTTGACCACCAGGTGTGTTGTTACTGGAGCTTGAATCAGCACTTACCCAGTCCCGAGCATTACATCTTCTAGATAATATGTAACCAGCCCTTTTCTATATTTTTGTACAATATGTTGCTGTGCTGCTAGAAACATGCTTTCCATTCCTCCATTTGCATGATGGCTTTCATCAACATGTTGTGAATTATTCAACACTCAGGTTGTGCAGTTTTTTCTACGAATAGCGCGACTGCATCTTTACATCCAAATGCATTTCCAGCCTTTCACAGGTGGGTGGCGCTGTGTGAACGTCAGAGCTCAGCGAACACAATCAGTCCGAGTGAATGTAGCTGTTTCTGTGTGAGGACCGCCCCTGTAGCTGTGTGCCCAATTTAGGCTCAACCCTGTAAAAAGCACGCCATACTTTCAAACAACAAGCCAGTTCCTAGAGTCACCCTTGAGCTGGTGCTGGTATATCACCATCAAAGCTTAGCACCACCTAATTGTGTATCACACTGATTGATGAAATTGGTGACATACTCATTCAGAAATGTACAATGGATATCAAAAGTCTACACACCCTTATTGAATTTCTAGCTTTTGTTGATGAAAAGGCTGAAACCAAGACAAATCATGTCAGTGAAAAACAAATGGATCATTTTTTAAGAAAAATAATTAAAGATAAAAAACATTCAATGCCTTGGTTGCATACAGTAAATGTGCACACCCTTTATAAAGGAGATTGTAACTGTATTCATTCTTCTCTGAACTGTCAGACGTTTAAATTATGAAAATGTTTCTGTTTGCTGGTGTTCTAGTTTATTCAGAATTTACTTACATTGCAAAATATTGGAGCATAAGTCTGTGTTTATAAAAAACATATCCTCACCAACACCAACAATAAGAAAGTAACATTTTCAGAAATGACGAAGGAAGATTTATTTTACAACAGTGCTTTGAATAAGAATCAAACATAAACTATCCCAAAGTATAGTTCAGAATGTATTAGGTCACTGTACAATAATCATATGCTACAAATCATCTCAGTAAAGCCACTCTGCTCATCTGAAGCACTGGTATTCTCATTGTAGCCTCCTGAATCATAAGAAATGATTCTGTGTTTGCCTGTCTCGTACAGACATCGCTGGCACATGCAACATGCAACATCAACTTTCCAGTTGGAAGAAAATTATTAGACAACATTCTGCATTCCTAAATACAGGGGTCACCTTGCCTTCATTGTTGAGAATTGTGTAGGCACCTTTAACAATAGTGTATTCATGAGCTGAAATCTAACCAACTGCACTGACTGGAGTATCTGATACAGTGTTATTCTCACCTGTGGGTATGTATGGAACAGTGTCACTCCCACTGGAAAAAGTTCTGTGTGATGAATTTGTTGAAATAATGCAATTTAAGTGAGATTTCCTTTATATTAGTGTGAGAAGGCAGAGCCGCTGTGAGAAACGAGCAGCCCCAGAACTCTATAAAGGACTCCACCTGTGACAGACAGGGTAGCACTGCTTCAGGGAGCAGGTAAAGCTATGGAAATTTCTTCTCCAGCACTGGAGCTTTTTCTTGTGGGGAAATCTGTTAAAAAGTAAACAAAAAGAATCTGCACTTTACTCTCCAAACAAATCTTCCAAAGTTCATAAACTTAGCAAAAACAAGTAAAAACACCTTAATATAAGGATTACCAACAGAAAACATTATTTTCAAGGCTCAGGTCCACAGTACATTAAGAACTTCATGTAAGAATGGTTACAAAAGATAGGGAAGAATTTGACCCATCTAACTTATTTAGTTTTTTCAGTAACTCATTCGTCTGAGGATCTCTCTCAGACGTTTCTTGGAAGAATCCAAGACTTATATCTTATAACCGTGTTGTTGAAACCAGGTTATAAGTTTCAACAACATGGCTAAGCAGCTTGTTCCACACTCCCACCACATTCTGTGTAAAAAAGTACACCCAGTTCTTAGTTTCAAATGCGAATCCACAAATTAAACAAAGTTCCACAACTCCTGAATATCAGAATGTCGTACTATACATATTTATGCAAATATTATTTAACTGGTTCACGGTAGCAAAACTGAACTAGTTCTTTTCGAGAGTTTACAAATGAACAATATGAGCCCTTGAGTTCTTATGAGCTGTTAAGAATGCAATGAAAACTACATTACAAACCGCAAACAAAACAATGAGCAATTCTTTCACTACAGAATAAATGAATGTTTTGAATATAAACGTTGGCATGTTGAAGAACTATCAAACAATTCACCTGTATTTAATTCGGCTAATTTGCGGAACACTGATAAACACTTTGGGAAAAGTAAACGTTTTACGGCACTTTTTTTACCCCTGGTTTTTGAAATAGGAAATATATATAAAAACACTTTTTGCAAACAACTGTTCAATTAGTATCCAGAGTTGCTCAACCTATGAAGACGAGACTTAGCTCTATGATTCAATTACCACAAGCTCCTGTCGCGTCACTAACTGACCAGAATGGATCCAATTCCTGCGACCGGTTCTGAAAGAAAAGTGGCTGGAAGGAGTCTGACTGTACTTCCTAATTTTTCCTGTGTGCCGCCACGTTTTTCGGAGCTGTGAGCCGAGAGGTGGAGAACTCCAAGCTCGTATTCCATATTAGGCTACACCCAAAATCATATATAGTTTAAAAATAACATCCTTAATTTTTTTCGCCGCTTTCTCATAAGGAAGAAGACTTTCGCTGCGGTCTGTTAAATCACATTGTCTTTGCAGTGTCCATCCAGAATACATTAACCAAATCCAAGTAAAACAAAGACTAATCCACGACATGGCAGGTGCGTGTTCGTAAAAGGAATTTATTAAATAAATCACACAGAAATGTACAGAATCGGTCAGTACAAGAAAGGTCCTTATGAAAAAGTCATTCTTATTCAAATGTGCTGTTTAACACTTTATTTCATGGTCACCTGTAAATAATGGGATTGTTATTTATGAGTGACACTTAAGGATTTAACAAATAATGGGCAATTCCTATATAACACCGAACTAGATACTAGATTACTAGTTGCTAGCAATTAATTATATATCCCACATGTTTCACTAGTCAAATATTAAGCATTAGTTTGAAAGAACCTAACAGATGTGTTACAGTAATAAAGTGGTTTTATGAAGTCTACAGTGGAGTTCTAAATAAAAAGTTTACATTCAAAACATCAGCAGGTATTACATTTCATTTACATTTCCTTTGAGTTATGGCAATTTGTCACTTTCTTGAGTTTCAAATGAATACACGTTTTTAATGAGCAGCGATAACTAACATTTCTCACCAATAAATATATAAATAAAGCAAATAATAAATAAGGTAGGACATTCATTCATGCAAGCTTATGATAAAATATCAAAATATACTTATCTGTGTCATTGAACATTATCATTCATGGCATGGTTTCACATCTGTACACAGCTTATCAGTCTTCAGTAAATGGAACAGTATATTGTTCAAAACATAATTATTAGATATAAATAGCGTCTCTAGTTTTTACACTACAGAGGAGAAAAGGAAAGCTTAATCATTGATACCTGGGAAATTCTACTGCTCAAGGACATTTGTATCTGCTCAGAGCACAGCTGTATGGTGATTTATCATAGAAGACAAACCAGGGTTTAACCTTTTGTGGTCTGAAACAGTTTTTTTTTAAATAAATGCAGAATTGTATTGTAAAACCTGGAGTTACGGATTTAGTGCTGTGCTCGTGCAAGGGAAAACATCCGAGGATAATGCGTTTTCTAACAATGAAAGAAAAAAAAACAGGTGAAGCTGCTATTTCAGATATCTGGAAGGATCACACTTCTCCTCTCGTGCCTTTTCTCACTGTGAGAAACCCTGGGGCCTGTGATGGCTATGCGCGGGATTTCTTTTTCTTCTTTGCGGTTCATGGCTGAAATAGAAATACGAGGTCCTGTTATAAATACTCCGTGGCGAACCGTGTATGTTATCATTCTGCAATCAGCTAACCGTGGAAAATCGGATCTCCTTGCATTCTCTGAGCAGAGTAACAGTAGCAAGAATTCCTGCATCCCTTCAAGAAGAAACTTACCTTCCTCACACGGCTGTTCCATCAGCCGAGCTACTTTAACACCTTAAGGAAATGATTTGACGTCGTTACACGCTCGAGAAACGTGTGGCGCATCGTGTTTGTAATGCATGTTCGCAAAATGCAACTACTTAGTCAGGTCGGCTCCGGTGCGCAGTGGGGATGAATTGGACACAAGATGAATAATTTTTTTCTTCATTGGAATTTCCATTCCAACTCTGATTTTTAAGTTGCAGGGTAAAATACAAGGGATAGCCTTTGGAATTGTGTTTTCAATCTTTTAGAAGATTAAGCTTTCGAGAAGCAAGGCACTGCGTGGGAGTTTCGGGAGTAAGGATCATCCTTTATTCTCACCCAGAAACCTCTGGCTTTATTCCATCTGTCGTGGGCTAGCGCCAACTGCACAGATCACACTCAAACATTTGACTCTCAACTCTGGAAGAGCATTTAACACTGAGAACAACAGTCCCGTCTTTGCACAAAGGGTGGTGGGAGTGTGGAACAAGATGCCCAGCCATTTCATTGAAGCCGATACCCCAGTTTGCTTCAGTAAACATCTAGGTGAGATCCCATAGTCAAGACAGGAGGCACTTCTTTACAACAAAGGTTGGGGTGGTTGTGGAACAAGCTAAGCAGATCTAAGCTAAGCTAAGCAGATCTTCATTAATTAGTTCCTATCTAATTAGGTAGGTAGCCGTTATGGAGCAAATGGCGTCCTTTCATTTGTAACCTTTTGTATGTTCTAAGAATTGCTCAGTTTTTAAATCAAGTCTTTCTCTGCTAATACTGAGACCTCAGATCATGACAACATAGAAAATGACTTGTACTCAAACTGTACTTGTGTACAAACTGTACTTATACATTTTTAAATACTATAATTTTATTCCAGTGTTTCCTAAAGTTTTTTTTTTCAGTTGATACTTTGGAATCAGAAAAAAATAGCACTGTTTCCAGACCCAGAAGGGTTCTAGAGTCAGTGATTTCAACAACACCTTGATGTTAAACTGACAAGAGATCTTGCCTCATCAGCCTCCCAGTGCTCAGCGGGGGATTGTGGGAAACGTTAGCAGGCATTGGTTTGACTGAGCAAAACAACGCAATGAAAACTCACTGCAACAACAGATTTCTGATAGAGCGAATTTTCCCTGAGGCATTTCTCAATCCATCATATGTGGGCACAGGGCCTTGCTCCTGATGAGGAAGGAGTTGATGACTCCTTTGGTTTAAACCTGACACTCCTCTGCAGGTTACACCACAAGGAAATGAATTCACGCATTCTCCATTTGCATGATTCTCTGAGGGGCTGCGGTTGTACAGGTTGAGGATGCCCACATTTAAGATGAACAAATATGTCAAAGGTCAACAGAAACTGTCTTGAACCTACTTTGCCTGCTTCCAGTCACTCCAGGCTGAATCACAGAACATGTCTTTGGCGCGGACGCAGATGCTGTTTCCCTTGTGTCTGTATTTCTTTGACAATTTTAGGGAAGTGGCCTAAAAGGAAAGGAAATGGACAACACAACACACTGAGTCACTGCCATGGCAGGTATGAGGTATTGTTCCCTGACGCAAAAACAGGACAGCTGGGAAGTCATCTTTATTGCTATTTCAGTATCTCACTATGGGTATTGGTTAATTGTTTTCATTTTGAAATGGAAGTTACATGACATACAGTAAGTATGTTTTCAATATTTAACTTAAGTACTTGAAATGAATTAAAACAAATTTCTCTCCCGCTGTGCATTAAAATGGTGTCTGTTTACAGCAAGACTTACAGTATCATTAAGAATCCCCTCCACCCAGAGACCTGTTTTTAAATTAATCAATCACAAAATGCCATTTCCTACACTTTTTTGACACTTGTCCAAGTAAAAATCAGGACAAATAAACCATATTGACAAAAAAAACAGCATGTATTTTTATTTGCAGGAAGTCTCAATTTAGGAGTATGGATTTCCAAAAAAAACTACCAAAACCAGGATTCAAAGATAATGATCACAAGCCAGAGGACACAAGTGGAAACTATGTGGAGATCCATTTAAAACCAAGAATAAGATAATAATAATAACAACATCACTTTATTAACCCTTTACAATTTCTTGCATTAGGAATTATCTTTTTGCATATCCCAGCTTGCTCTCCATGAGACACACAGACACAGAGAGAATTTGTCACAGACACAGAGAGACACACAGTCTGCCATTGTACGGCACCCCTGGAGCAGTTGGGGTTAAGGGCCTTGCTCAGGAGCCCAACAGAGTAGGGTTCCTCTGCCAGCTGCGGGATTTGAACCAGCAACCTTCCAGCCACAGGCACAGATCCTTAGCCACAGCGCAACCACTCCACCCTTAGAAGTTGACAGGGGTAGGATTCAAACCCACGCCTTTGAAGAAACTGGAGCCTTAATCCAGCACCATAGACCACTCAGCCACGCTACCCTCTAATGCAAGCAAGATGCAAGCAATCCAAGAATAAAATGCAACTACTTAGCTCAGCTTCAGTGCCCAGTGGTAATTAATTATACACAGAATTATTGTTTTTCATTGGAATTTCCACTTCAATTCTGATTTTTACCCCTCTTTATCCATTTCTATGGCAAGTCGCAGCTCTGATCTTGGAAATCTGTAATCTCTGCAAGCTCTGTGCCTCTTTAACATCAACTCCTTAACAGCATGGAGCAGTGGATCTGTGGCTCAAGATCTGCACCTGAGGCTGGAAGGGTGCCAGGTCAAATCCCACAGCCAGTAGAGGAATCCTACTTCATTGGGCCCCTGAGCAAGGCCTTTAACCCCAGCTGCTCCAGGGGTGCCGTATACATGGCTGACCCAGTGCTCTGACCCCAGGCTTCTCTCCCTGTCTGTGTGTCCCATGGAGAGCAAGCTGGAGCATGCGAAAAAGACAAATTCCTAATGCAAAAAATTGTATATGGCTAATAAAGTGATCTTATCTTAATGTAACAGGGCTCAGCACGCCATTGGAGGTGCTGAGGAGATGTCACCACCTTAGCAAGCTACACAATATCAAGCTCTGCCACTCACTGTGACCCCACTCTCCACTGCACCAAACATCACTGAAATTTGCCACTTCAAGGGAAAAGGATCCTTTCAGATTACATCCATCTGGCGTTTTCTTATGTTCTTATCATTTATGCAAAGGGTTGTGGGAGCATGGAACGAGGACCTCAGCCATGGTATTGAAGCTGATCGTTCGTCAGCCTCCAAGAAATGGATAGATGAGAGTTGGATCAATTAACTACTAACTACCACACTGGCTCAATGGAACGAATGGCCTCTCCTCTCCTGCGACCTTTCTTATGTTGTTATATAATTCCTTACACTTATATATTCTGGACACTCCACTCAAAGCGCTTAATAGGTAATGGGGACCCCCCTCCACCACCAGTGTGCAGCCCCACCTGGATGATGTGACGGCAGCCAGAGTGCACCAGTACCCTCACCACACACCAGCTCTCAGCGGGGAGGAGAACAGAGTGATGAAGCCAGTTCACAGGTGGGGATTATTAGGAGGCCATGATTGGTAAAGGCCAGGGGGAAATTTGATCAGGACACTAGAGTAATTCCTCTACTCTTTTCAAGAAAGGCCCTGGGATTTTTAATGACCACAGAGAGTAAGGACCTCGGTTTTACGTCTCATCTGAAGACCAGCACTTTTTTTAAAGTATACTGTCTCCGTCACTATACTGGGGCATTAGGACCCACATAGACTGCAGGATGAGCGCCCCCTACTGGTTCCACTAACACCTCTTCCAGCAGCAGCCTTAGCTTTCCCAGGAGATCTCTATTCAGGTACTGGCCAGGCTCACACCTGCTGAGCTTCAGTGGCCTGCCGGTTGTGATTCACAGAGTGATATGGCTGCTGGCTATATGTATTTTCTCAAAGATCTCAAAGGTTGTACTAGTATACCACAGTAGTCATTGTCTCCGTGAAGACGAAAGTCACATTGCATCGATAGTGGAATACAGAGGGAGAGAGAGCAGGGATGATTTAAGGAAGTTACCTCGTCGGTGCCAGTTGGCTGAGCCTGCAGACTGTCACAGCTGCCTTTCACCACTTTGACCTGGAATGTGAGAGGGAAGTAGGAGCGGCTGTGCTTCCAGTTTGCGGGGTAATCCCACGTCACGTTAATCCGACAAACCTTCAAGTTTTCAGGGCTGTCGGGCTTCACTATGGATTCAAAAACAGTGACGTCAGAGGCGTTTCTGCCTGGGACCTTCTAAAAAAAAGCGTTTTTTTTATGGAAAGCCGAAATTGTACTGTACCTTCGATAACTCAGTAAAACTGTATTAGTTGTAATATTTATTAATCACCGTACTATTTTTGCAGTTTTTCCCCCCCAAAATTACCTTGCACTATTTTTGTCCTGTTGTATTTTCTCCGTTTGCGTATTTGCACAGTTTTGATTACACTGTCATGTTATTACACTGTTATTGTTATTGTGTTACTGTCTATTGTCCTATCTTCTGTTCTATTTATATACTGCACCTGAGCGACTAATAAGTAACACTTTTCCCTATACTATGCACCTGTGTAAGTATAGTGACAATAAAGTTAAATTGAATTGATTGAGTGAAACGGCTCGCCTAATGTTTTGGTATTAAAAAAAAACGTTCAGGTTCTCAGTAGGAACGCAGAAGCCAGGCAGTTTTTCTATCTGTTTAATAAATAATACAAACAAGTCACATTTTAATGTTTTTATCCCTCGATTTGTGCACTTCAGTAAATAACTTCAGTTTAAAAGGAATGAAAATCATTTACAACGACTCTAGATGGCAGTGTTAAGTAAGTGATTTTGTAACGATGTAGTAACATATTTGGTTCTTAAAACTGTTAATAAAGCATCTAAAAATGAAAATAACTAGAAGTTCACTCCAAATCAACAACCTAAAACAAAGGTCATTATTAGTTTATCATGTGATTTGACAAAATGTGGAGAATTGTTTTGAAGTTCCAGGACATTTTCAAGAATAGTCCCTTCTGAAAACTCTGTTCACACCTCACATCTTAAACTTGTCTGAATGTAGTGCATTCAAGACTCCTTATGTGTGCAAAAGGTCATTGTGTGGTCATTGTGTGCATGGTCACTATGGTAAAACAAGCACATTCTGGGATATGAACCTGTTTTGTTGAAGTTAATTGAAGTATTTTACAAGCTGTTCCGAATGAGGCACTTGGACATGCAAGGTGCATCTGTAGCTAAAGTTACTCTGAAATCTGCTTGCTGAGGATAAAGACTTGCTGGAATAAGTGACCATTAGTGGCACCAGACAGACCAGATTGATCCAGACTTATTTGCCTGGTAGGACCTTCAAGTGTTAAAAGTTACGTATGAAGACTGGAATATCACGGTGTGTGTTTGAGCCTGGCACTAATTCAGCACTTGTCAAGGGAATTCTAGGCTGTAGGTCACACTCTCCTGCCAGCAGTAAAGTGTTAAACAAAGGTCTTACTGAAGCATCAGGTTTCTTCAAGAAGAACTTAAGGCAGAGCATCACACTCTTAAAAGGTCTCTTGCTCGCTATGTTGTAAATAGCCAGGGATTGGTGTAAATTAATACAATATTCACACATACATCATAATATAGGGGGAAATTCTGACCTTTAAGGAGGACAAAAAATAGTATGTAGAAAAGGAGCAGTGATATGATACTCACAGATTTCATGAATGTAGAAGACTTTAGAATACTCTTCAAAGCGGTACAGGTGCGTAGCGTACAGAGTAAAATTGATCCGGTCGCGCTCCTCTCTGTACGGGCAGAAGGAGGAGTCTTGACAGCTTGCTTTGGACTCATGTTCATCCATAGTGCAGGAGATGCTGCTCACCTCTGATGACCTGTCAACAACAAAACCACCCATAAATCCCTGCATGTTTGATCCTGTGTTCAATCAGTAAGAATATTACGGCACTTCCACTGAAAGAAAGCACTTTCCCAGATGTCCTGGTTGCACTGGAGTCCAGGAATGGGGGTGCATACAAAAATATTAAAAAGGAGAGCTTTATTAGAAAGGAGTTACTCAATTCAGCAGAGTCAGTCAGAAAAGCAATTACCTACATTATTGCTGCTTATTGTAATTTTAGTACAGGGATCTTCAACCCTGGTCCTAGAGAGCTCTGGTCTAGTTAGACTTATTGGTTTCTAAAGACTGGCAACACTGATCAGCTTTTTCAACCAAGCAAGTAATCTGTTCATTTAAAAGTATTGATTCTTGTAGGCAGACATGTACATAGAGATTAGTCCTAAATGATCTCTAAATTACTTCATTTAAATAATCGCATGTGTGACAGATCACAGCACAATTGTTCCAAGTCTTAAGAAATCGGTGATTTAACAGTGAGCAGAACCTGCTGTATCAGGGTGCACCAGGACCAGGGCGGGAGCCCCTGCTGACACGACAGAGCTCCCTGCAGGTAAGGTTAGGTAGTCTGGGCTAAGACTTGAGCAGCTCAGCCGAACTGCCCCTGAAGTCTTGAGAATCAACCCCCCCCCCCCCTAACCAACACTGACGTGCTTCAGCAAAGGCTTAGAGCGGGTTGTGTTTCCCGATGGACGCTACTGCCAGAGTAATCAATCAAAGCTACAAGACTGACGAGCCTGTGCTGGCTCTCCCTCTTCCAAAGTGTAAGATTAACACTGGACGTACGCCAGCCGCTCTGCAGAGACGAACAGCGTGGCATCTTCACGATTCTCCTGCAGCTGCCAAGAGCACTCGAAGTCTCCCGAGTAGTTTTTCGCTTTGCAGGTAATGTAGTTGTTTTCTGTGGAATAAATGCAGAAAGAAATCAGGAGTGCCTGAAAGACTTACTGAAACCATGCTTAAATGAGCAGCCTCAAACCGGAGGGATTATGTGTGCTACCCAACACCTAGCACAACAGGGAGCAGGCACAAACACAGTAGGCACAGGTCAGCTTGGGTACAGAAGGTGTTATGGAAAAACTGAGCGAAAAACTCAGGTTTTAAATGATCTTGAGGGTAAAAACTCACTCTCCCGTCGAGTGGCCCCAGAGCCACACAGAGCAGGCTCACCTTCGTTCTTGAGGATGGTCTTGGGGAAGGGACCTTTCTCGTTATTCGTCTCCTGCACCAGGACCAGGGTGTGGTTGAGCGTGGCGCCAGAGCTGTCGTGGCAGGTGTAATTCCCACCGAACATCTCCACCACCTCCACCGTGATCACGTTCCCGCGTTCTCTCAATTTCCGGTTGTCCTTCTTCCAGTGGACATCCCGGAGCTGGTGGGCCTCTCCACAGCTCAGCTCGACGTGAGAGGAAGTGCTCTTGGTGAGGTCAACATCCAGGACGATGACTGCGCAGGCAGGGATGGACATTAACACCCAGCCTCTCAAGACGGTCAGCAGTAGTCAACATGCACACTGTTCTCACCATCATTACTTTGTGTCACGCCCTCAGCCAGAGGGCGCTCCTTCTCTGTCCTGTCCCTAGTTTCCGGTCTGCTGTCCTTCCTGTCCCTCTCTTTCCCTTGGGCTATATATTTCCGGGTCTTGCACTCCGTCCTCGCTCAGCATTGACATTCGGATGTCCTGAGACCCGCCTAGCACCAGGGCGCCCCACGTCCGCTCCCTGAGGGCATAGGTTTCTATTCGGCATTCCTGAACTCTTTGCACTAATGAGCCCAGGCCTTTTTCCTCTCTCCTGCTCCCCACGGTTAGTCCCTTTGGACGTCCGTGACACTTTGCTTTCCAACTCTTGTACTATGATGCTACAATCTTACTGCTCCGAGACACTGCCCTTTGAATTCGAGTATGACCACAGTGAACACTCCCAGGTGCACTCCCCGCTATAAACACGCACACACACAACCGTGAACCAGTGATGAACCAGTGACTTTACCTGTAAATCACTAGGGAAATGCAACACAATCCAGAAAAAGATTTTTTTAATTGACAAGAAACCATTTATTTCAAAAGTAGAAAACAGACCACCTGGGCAGACAAATGCTGTCAGGCATATGAAATTTTTTCATTTTTGTACAGGCATGTCTACTTTCTACACATGTAATGTTTGAGGAAAGTACGCTAACAGCCAAGGAACTGCAGATGTAACTACAGCAGAACAAGGGATCAAAGAGTTAAGACTGTGTGGCTCTAGCTAGTGGCTTGCATCAGTGGGTCACATACTTTGTAAAGGAAAAAAAGTTTCTCACCGTTCGGTCTGAAGACCCAGTATTTAGAGGGTTCTTCTTGATCGCTGCTCCTTGCTTGTTGTAGAGCCAGAAGCAGAACACAAAATAACTGCAAAGCACACGTCATCTGATAGAGAGAAGGAAACAAACAATATTCTATAAAATGTAAAAAGGAGATTCAATCTTCATTATTCAATTATATAAAAAAGTGTTTAGTAATTTCTAGAATCCACATTTTCTACTTGGATTTTGACAAAAACACTCAGTCTACCAATCATTTAACTCTTTAATTTATCCAGATAAATACATTTAGATGAGGTTTTAACTGATTTTGTCATGGAATACCATAATCACATTGAAAATTCAACTTGTCAACATACCTTAGATACAATAATCATCGACTTCAGGCCAAATTAGAATTTTTTCCCCCAAATCAGTGCAATGTATATACCTAGAAGTGATGAAACAAATCAGTATGTAACATGTGAATTCAAGCCTGCCTCATGAAAATACCAGATCTTTAAAGACTATAAATGGTTCTCCATTTAGAGTCCTTATCTTCATTCTTTCAGCTTTTTTTAGGTGTCTTGGCTTTACTCAAACTAAAATGAAAAATCGGCGCTCTTCATTCCCATACCTACTGTACAGTTCTATGGAGCAGGGCACATCTGCACAACCTCACTGTTTTTATACCTTGATGAGCAGCTTTGATATTTTACAATCTTTCATGTCTCTAAAACATCGGGTGAGATGTTTTAGAGACTCCTTTAGGCAATTAAATACAAAACCTGGCAGAATTCTACACCAATGGCAGTTCTAACTGAAATCATAATGGTTTATAAAAAAAAGTCTTTAAAACCAATTGATAAAAAGGGGGCCAACCAGATGAATTATAATTTTGCTTACCAGAAGCAAAAGTATCAACTTTTCTTACTTATCAGAAATAAATGCCTTTCACATAGTAGAAGTAGACATTACCAATACACAACAGTCCCTACAAACAGGAGTCTGAAAGCTGACACCCTAGTGCTGACATCAATTAGATGTTATCCCCTCTGGGTAAATAAAACATTTCCTGCTTAATCCAGTGCATGGCATTCCACAGAAATGCAGCAAAATGTTCTGTAGGTTATCCAGAATAGCCACAGGACAATCTATACATAGGAACGTGCCATAACATAGAAGTGATCAAGTTAATTACATTTCATTGCCAATAAAGACATTTCATTGCCAGCAACTACTATTGTTGTGTATTTGATAAATAAACGTTGATTTGATTTGATTCATTAATAACCAGCATCTGACGCTCGATCCTTTCCTAAATACACTCCCTGGTACCTGAACACCTATCTGCGCCACTGCCATTCTCCCCGCAGGCCTGGAAGTGTGCTATATTCCCACTTCCCAGTCAGCAAAGCATCACTTTTGTCCCAGATACTCTCTCAAAAGCCCACTGACACTGTTAGAACACAAGTACTGCCTTTGTTCCAATCACTGCTACATCATCCCATTCAGCCAGTTACTTTCACAGCAGGAACAAGACCTAATAACTTCTGAAAGGCAACACATGTTTAGGTTTTCCATATTAAAATAACAGCTTTTACAGCACTTAATCAAACTCAGATTCATCTTCAAACTTAAAATGAGTAAATTCGCATATTCTAAGGCTTACCTTGCCTTTTACCAGAACAAAGCAAAACAAAACAGCAACTTGTCTATTTATTGCTACATGCAAATGAGGAGCTCCAGGGACAGAGCCGGGTGTTATCCCGCATTCCCACTTCTGTTTTTATCAGCACTCTGCCACGAGTTTGTATATGTCAAATTTATCACCAGTGTTGTAAACAGAAAAATGCTGCTGAATCTTTTGATCAAGAATCAATCGCCTGGGTGATGGGAAAAGCTGGCAGAACTTTTAAAATGTTTAAAAAAATGCTTTTTAGAAACTGAACATATTTCATATTTAAAAATGTAATTAAAATGAAGTTCTTTCAGAACTTGTAAAAGGAGATTGTAACAGCAACCTCTGAACGGAAAAATATACTACAGCAGAAATATAGTTCAATAGTGATATAATAATAATCACTTTTATTTATAAAGTGCCATTTACAAACCCAACGACGTTGTACATAGTGATAAGAAAAAATAAATAAAATTAAATAAAATGAGACAAGAACATACAGGATAAACCTTAAGTGTTATTCCTCACTATGTTTTAGGTTATGTGGTTCCCTGACATCCAGAGACAATTTAATCTTATCAAGTATTTGGTGATGTAAGTTTGATCTTACCTTGGTAAAAAGGCAGTGCTCAGAACCAGTCTTTCTCCCTTCTCAGTCTTTCACTGGTTGATATTCACACTCCTCAGTATATATAGTCAGCCACATGGAAGTGGAGAATTTCCAGAAACACAATCAACAATAACAAAAAAGTACAGCTTGCAGGTAAAAGGAACTAAGCTTGGGGTTTTGAAAAGAAGGTTTTGAGTAAAGGCCAGCGAAAGTCATTTTTGTAAAATCCATTTTCTCTTGACCCCAATCTCAGGTGGTCTAATTTTGGATGGCTTAATTATAATGAGAGCGGCCAGTATGTGTCAGCATCGGGTTTTCAGTCAGCTTTAAAAGCTAATGTCCAACCTGTAACCAGCAATTGGGATTTTGGACACTTCTGAAATAAATTGGTGAAAAGACAATGAGCTATTCAAATATTCACCTCTCTACTTTTGATCTGATTGGCAAGACTGCCACACTTTTCTGATCACATACTTATTCTTTTTTTCTTGACCTGCCTGACTGCTGACGCCTTTAGATGTTTTGTTGACTGGCTTAAAGAGTGCTTCCATTGTGGGGTGTTTTAGTGTCCTGTTGATTTTATATTAAGAATAACATTATGGTAAACCAAAAGTACCTTCTGCGTGGAGTTCGCATGCTGCCCCTTTGTTGGTAGGCATTTTTGTCAGGGGCAACGATTCTCTCCTGGCTGGAAATCACGGTGGCTGGGTTAATTCATGTCGCTGAGTGCTTGTGTGTGCGAGTGTTTCTGGCCCGCAATAAATCTGTCCAGGGAATCATCCTGCCTTGCTACAACTTGAGCTTCTAACTGCAACCTCTTACATGGAAAGAAAGCCATTCCAATAATGAATGGATAAATATCCCACTTCCTTAACAAGACCAGCTTCCCTGGGAGTGAATTTTAACTAAACTTACAAATATAGAATTTACAGAGTTACTCTAACGGAAATCTGGAGCAGTGAGTTTTGTTTACATTTCCGGGTTTCTGACTTGCGACTAACTTATGTCTATGAAAGCTGGTTTTAACAAGGAGGAAAGGGAATATTTTCAGGGACCAGTGACACTAGGCTGCAGAATCAAGGTGGATACTGGCCAGAGTGTTTTCTACCAAAGAGCCAGATGTGAAATATTCAAACATCCATCTGTGATCTAACTGCTTCTTCCAATTCAGGGTCGCAGGGGAGCTGATGCCTAACCCAGGAAGCACCGAACACAAGGACACAAGGCAGGATAATCCCTGGACAAGAGGACAGTCCAGCACACGGTACGCACAGACACATGCAGTCATGCATCAGGACCAGTTTTCCGAGATGCCAGTTAACCCACCAGCATGGCTGTGGATTGTGGGAGGAAACCAGAGCACCTGGAGGAAACTCATGCAAACATGGGGATACAACAACTCCAACAACAACAACAACAACAACAACAACAATATCATTGATACACTGGGTAGTAGAAATATTTAAACGTATTTCTTAAAACCTTTTCAGATAGGTAATTCACACTTGAACAAAGTAACAGTCGGTTAAAGGTTTCAGAACAAGTAAATTTGAAATAACAAAAGGAATGAGGACATTGGGTCTATCTAACATAGTTAGTCGATAATAATAAGATTATTCCATGTAATTTTATGTGACTCTTATGTTTTGTGTTTTTTCCTTCTGTGGGAGAAGCCAAAGACAAATTTCCCCAGCAGTGGACGATACAGTATCTATCTTAATCGGTTTGATTAATAACCAGTGTGTTGTTGCTGTACCCTCTCTTGGGGATCCACAACTCGAATTTGCTATGAGTTGAATGATTGATAATGTTTATTATTCGCACACACATACAGTAGGTACACCAATGAGTTCTCTCCCAGGGAGTGTTCCACTCAGCGACGTATGACGTCGTCTCTTCCGCTTACGCCCAGGCTCTTTCCGTAAGGCGAGCTCGCGCACACCTTTGCGGGACACCTGAGACCGGCGCGCGGTTCGCCCGTTCTTCCACTGACGTCATCTCTGGTAATACCAAAGGGACTGGAGCTTCCGAGCTGGTCCAGCCGGCGGAAGTGGGGATCTGGACAATGTGTACTTTCTAACTGGAGAGATGCAGAGTATTGGAATGCAGGAAAGAGGAAATTATATTCGATTCAAAACGATTGACGCTTGCTCTTAAAAATTCCATGCCATGCCGTTTAAAAGTGCTCCTTAGGAAATCTGTATGTAAAGCGCTATCTGATTGCCCCAGAGCAATTTCCTTGTAACTGTGCCTTGACAAGCATGTTTTTCCACTGTTGCATTCAGTATTGGAAGGAAAACAACGTGTGCTTCCAACATATAGTCCATAAAACCATCGCAAGACCGAAGTGTTAAAATATAAAACGATACAGAGCTGTAATCGATGGCGCAGGCAGGGATTAACAGAATTTGACGCACGCAACAAATACTACAGCTGCTAAGCATCATCATCGTCGACGTGCTAGGTTTAAAGGATTCGTCAATACAAGAGTAAAATTCAAGACGTGTGAAACAATACAACACATTCGAGTCTAAAATCCATGTAACGGGGTTTTATTAATAGTGACGTGGCTTGAACTCTGCAGCTTTAAGTTTCCTAGAAAGAGTCTGTGTTCCCTTTTTCACCGGGAACGACGGCCTTCATGAACCGTCACATCTCAGTGTTTGGTTTCTCGTTAGAAAAATAAGGATGTAGCAGGCGGTACAGTCCCTATAAATTATTTCATCCCCGCGCCGAGGTACTTTCAGAGCGAGATCCGCAGTTCCTGAAACGTCGAAGATTCAATTTTCTGAATTGTCCATCAAGAAACCTTCATCTGCCAAAGGTAACGCCTCATTATTTAGAACTTCCCTGTTTCTGCCTGGAGTGAAATAAATCGTAGGAAGCGAGGCTTAAATGTCGTTGTTTTTTTTTTTGCGTGTGCAGCATCGGTGTTTATAGGGGGAAAAAACAAACTAACGAGCCTGTTTCTTAAATGCCCGCGATGCCATTCTGAGTAACGCCGAAAAACCTAGAGAGTGCGAGAGGACTCATCATCTGGTGATACTTCAGAAAAGAAGCTAAAAAGTCCTTATATTTCCAGTTCCCCAGTTTGAATTTTTACAACTGGTTGTGAAAGAGAAACCCTATTATTAAACTCCCTCGGTATTCTCGCTGTATGCGGACTGCCGTTGTTAATTCAACGTGTGCGAGTGGCGACGGAGGGGCATGGGACAACTGACAAGGCAGGACAGCCGAAATCCCCTGGCGTCTCCAGTCACCTTTGTCCCCAACACATGGCGTAATGAGAGTGGTGCAGGGAAGGCCAAGGGAGCACTTGACGCCCTTATGAAATCTTATCGCGGTACAAGGTTTCCCTTGGTTTTCCTGTGCTTGCTCAAGGCGTGTGGCTTCGTCACGGCTCCCCGTGTCCACACTTGAATCGTGAATCGTGAATCGTGCTGTAATGGCATCTCCCCCTGAACTGTACCGTGGGTGTGCTGCACCGCCTCTGTACCCCCGTTTTATCATGGAGAGCGCTTAGAAATGAGCTGGTTCTCCGAATGATGTCGCTGGGAGTCTTTTTTTTTTAACACCGCTGGGAGTCTGTTCAATACAGCACTAGGCTCAAGAACTAGCGAGCTACAGAACTTTTATGTGCTTGGCATCCAGGCAGTCAGTCAGACTCAGACTCGGCTGTCAGTAATTCGCGGTCACTCCTGACTCCATTTCCTCTCCTAAAACGCTATAATACTGTACGCGATCCCCGTCCCTCCCTAATATTCATCTTTTTACTCCTCACCTCCACCTCATCTCTGGTTCCTACTCCCCCCAGGTCACCCCTTACTCTGCAGGGGGTCCCAGCCTCCTTGTCCCCTGGCTAGGAGGTCAGCCCTCACCCAAGGGGGCTAAGCAAAATTGTGACTAAACCATTCCATAATCCTTTCAGTCTGGGTCTTTTTAAAGTCACAGGCTGTTGAATGGAGCATAGCTTAGTGTGCTGAGTAAGTTACAGAAGTGCCTTTGCCCATCTGAGATTTAGAGAGTGTAAAAACCTGTCAAGTGTCCACTGAACATCCACCCCACCCGGAGAAAAAGATGTTTTTTGTTAACATTAAACTTGCTTTTCCCTATGTGATTATCTTTACGCAAAGGGTTGTGGGAGTATGGTACAAGCTAGCCAGCCATGTCGTTAAAGCCAATTCCCCAACTCCTTTCAAGAAAAGGTTGGATGAAATTCTCATCTCAATTAGCTCCTCTAAATTTAAACCAAGAACAGGAGGGACATCTTTATGCTAAGGGTTGTGGGAGTGTGGAACAAGCTACTCAACAATGTGGCTGAAGCAGAAACCAGGGTTTCGTCTGACTGCTCCAGTTTCCTCCCCCAGTCTGGGGACATACTGGCAGGTTAATTGGCTGCTGGAAAACTTGTCCCTGGAGTGAATGTGTGGGTGTTTGTATCTATGTGTCTGCCCTGTGATGGACTGGCGTCCCCTCCAGGGTGTATCCTGCCTTGTGCCTGTTGCTTGCTGGGATGGGATTGAGCTCCCTTCTGCCTCCCTGTTTTTGATAAAGTGGTTAGAAAATAGCTGGGATGGAAGTGTAGACGCATTTAGGCTGTGGACAGAAGGATTACTGGTACTCCCATTTCAACAAAGTCACAGTGCTTGTTGACAAGCTCTAGAGAAGGCAGCACCATATGACCTGATGTAATCGTTGTGTCATCTTTTCAAAAATGTCCCGTCGGCTTTTTTACTTGATGACAGTCTGGAGAGGAACTTGGAGCTGAAACTTTTGAGAAGAGGATGTAGGTACAAGATGAGAGTAAATGTCATCAGGTGAAAAGCAGATGATACTGTGGTTTCCACCAGAGAACCAGTGAGGTCTTGTTTGGGAACATGCTCCATTGGAAGTCGATCACAGCCTGAAAGAAGAGAGTGAACGGTGAAGTTTTTGTTTTATTTTGGATACAAAACATCTTGGAACTGCGTGTGTCTTTGGCTGGGGTGGGGGTATAACAGTGTAGTTTGGTGATGCTTTTGTATATCCTACAAAAAATGTTTTTTCTCATAGGTGAGCCATAGTTACAGTGAACAACACCAGATGTAGAATCAAAAAGTGCTGCCAAGTCACACTGAAAGCATGATGCTGTTGTGGACAATCCTGCCTCAGATGGGCAATTTTGAGAAAAAGCAAAGCAAATTTCGCTTTGTGAAAATTGCACATGTTGGATTTTCCTTGTTCAGTTCTCTGTTTTTCCAAGATTATTGTTCGATTTATAGATCTATCGCAGTCATCTATTGTGAAACCACTCTCTGGGTCAAAATAGTTAACTGTGTACAGGTGACAGTTCTGTTGTTGATCCTAAAAAACCTTCTTCTCAGAGGGTTTAAAATAATAATAATAATAATAATAATATAATAATAATAATAATAATAATAATAATAATATTATTATTATTATTTAAGAGCCTACGATCAAATATTTGTGCAATTAATACAATATAGCCTGCTACTAAAGTGCCTTGCTATTCAAAAGGAGCAGTTTCATGCTGCCTGAATGCGTCTTTTTAAACATCGTGTCCCTTAACAGCACAAGAATCTTACTCTTGATATACGTCCAGAGATTTGGGCACAAAAAGCCTAAACTGCACAGTTTTGAAATTTCAACGTCTGTACATTCAAATGAGCCCTGTGTGTACAGCTCTAGGAAGCAAACTGGAGCAAGCAACTACATACAAAGTCAGCAAAATTTCTTTTACCCCAGAGAGAGGGAAGTAACCATTTCAATATGCATTTTGCAAATGAGAAGAGAACTGCAGCTTTGTTTAATAGTAGGAAGTTTTATATGTTA